TTCCGCGAAATCGCACGCGCCACGTTTGCAAATACGCGAACGGAAAATGCAATCATTAGATATCTATGTCGCAGGGATTTTGTGTAATTCGTTTTTTTTCCAAAAATCCCTAGAGAATCCACAAAAACCGGGATATTGTAAAATGAATAAAAATTATACAATCTTATTAGGAGATATTTCAGTGATTCTGCAAAATCCTATAGGTTTTGTCAGTAAAATTGTGAGTTATTAATTTATATGATAAATTACATTCTTTCCACAATATCCCAATTTTTTTAAATTTTCTATGGATTTAAAAAAAAAAAATCTTTGTGACATATGCATCTCGCAACACAAGAGGAACCTGCACGGCGCGCGCGCGAAAAAACGCGAAAATCGGGTGGAGTTTACAACGACGTCTACACCTTCCAAAAATCGACGTAAAAAATATATGTAGGCATCTCTCTTTATTATAAGGTTCCTCGCAACTACGATATCACGCCGCGGGCGTTTCAACGTTTAAAGCGCGCAAAGAAATCGAAAACAGAAACTGGTTAATCGTGTTGTGCGGCTGCGTCGAGATAAAAAAACGATAACGGGCACGCGCAGTTTATTTTCAAAGTTTCGGGCAAAACATCTCTCTCGTTTCGTGCATAATAATAATGATTCATGTTACACAAGTAATAATTTTCCGTGTGAATCACCCGACGGTACGTATATACGCACCGATAGATCTATGGGATGTCCGTATTGATCGAACCACACCCGTATTTCCTACACCCTCTACACCTCGCTTCTCCACCCTTCCTCCCTTCCACCCCGCGCCGCCCCGGCACGCACGCGGATGTCAACGTAAATGCGTGCGCACAGAAATCGACGTAATCGTTCGTATAGCCGAAAAGCTCCGAGTCACGCTTTGATTTATCCCTAATTTAATCGTGCCCAGAGAAAATCATTTCTGAGCAAAAGAATTATTGGAGAGGCACTACATTACGCATTATTATTCGGGATAACAATTAATTTCAAGATTTCTTAAACGTCATCGTCACGATCGTCGAACAGATTGTCAACGATATAATATCCATAAAAGCGCATCCACTTCAGGACTCGGCTCGACGTCGACAGTTGCAGCGGATACTTATGCACTTTGCGATTATTCCGCGTGTGACATATCGTAACGCTACTGATGTACATTTCCACCAATGCAGATTAACTTTAATCTTGGTTTAACTTACGTTTTATCTGTTTCTAGTTCTAAGAATTAGAATAAAATAGAATAAAAGTGGACACGAGATAAGTCGTAGAGGCAAAAAATACTAAGAGTTAAAGGTCTTAGTGGAATCGGAACGTAAGAATTAAAGCTCCTGTACGTTCCGATTCCACTAAGACCTTTAACTCTTAGTAGAATCGGAACGTAAGAATTAAAGCTCCTAAAGATTCAAAAATCTAGATAAAAAGGTTCTCGAGGTTCTAACGACTCGCGAATCCAAAAAGACTCCCCAAGATTCGACGACCAGTATAGTCCAGGACTTGCAAAAGTTCCGACTCGAAATCCCCGCGAGTGGCGATCGAATAAAGCCGCGGATAATTCTTTCTCGCGCCTTATCAGCGCAGCTGGTACACGGTTGCGCGGATAAACAGGTCCGCGTGATGCTGTCTACGCGCAAATAGCGCGCGATGATCGGCGCGTAGGTAAGACACGCGCGTATACGCCACGTACGTAAAATTCCTAGCGTATTCGAAATTTATGCGGGCGAAAGCTCTCGCGCACATTCGCGTTTTTCGTGGAAGCGCTGCTCGATGAAAGGCGCCATTGTGTATCTGTCCCGTCGAGTTTATCATGCTAATGAGGTCTTAATATCGCGTTATGGGAAACTCTGAACGGATACCATTCAGCGGACGGGCGCGATACGCCACCGCGATCCGCGTGCGTGCTTCTCTTTCTCTCTCTCCTCTTCACCCCCGCGCTTTCTCCTCCCGCAGCTTTAAGGCGTTTCCAACACTCGCCTTTCATCGCGCGCACGCCTTTTTTTCCCCCCGTCGCTTCCAATTTCTTACGAGGGACGTCTCGAAGAGAGAGAGAAGGGTGTACTCCGCGGAATGTAAAGAGATTACAGAATAGCCGTGGGTGAACTCCGCTCCGAAATGTGACACAAATGTTTATATATACGTCCTCGCTTCTCTTCCTCCGTTAGAAAAGGAAACGACCGTGCAAACGAGAATACGTTATCGGGTTCTCCGGACCGCTTGAGTTTAAAACTCTCGCGGAGGAGTATCCAGAAGAGAGTCGCGCCTTCGAGCTCGCTTTCTTTCGTCGAGGATATATCTATTATACATGAAATAAGGTGGTTCATTGGACTTTATGCTGTCTCACTGTAGACACGAGCGGAAGGACTGTTTTATTCAGGAGTAATCGCCCATTTCCTTCGGCGAATAGATTCAGCATGAGTAATCAAGAACGAGATACGTAGAATACGGGAAAGTTACCCGCGAGTGCGGTCGCTCATAATAAAATTTCAATGTTGAAGAAAGACGGATAAGAAAATCTTCTATAGAATTTAAATTCCAGTTTTAAAAGTTTTGTTGGGGATTATTTTGGAAGGCAATCAGACGATAAATTAAATTTCCGTCAAATTTCCGAAAAACTTACTTTCGCTGAACGATGTTTTTTTTTTATTGGGACTTTACACAACAATAGAAAAGTATCGAGCCTTCCGCACGACAAAATAAAAAAAAATACTAGTTCGCAAATATACAGTTATTAAAAGAAAAGTATTGATCTAAATGTCCCCGTAACGATACGCGGCTTTTAATATTGCTTCCACTGTCGGACGCGACATCTTAAATTCGACATTTCCTGCGACGAATAACCCTTTCACCACAAAGGGCGCGTGTATGCGCCCAAATGGAACTCACGCTCACATGCGAGGCGCGTGGAACGCACGCATGGACTGAAATGGAAAAGAATGCCTCGGCAAGGATAAATCAAAAAAAGCAAGGGAGCAATTGCGCTCCGTTGTAAACATTGTCCACGTAATTAAATCACGCAACGAAAGCCTCCTGAATTCCCCTTCTTTTATAAATTTATGCTTCTTGGGAGCTGGAGTGAATCTGCGTCTTCGAGAGGATTATTAGTGCTTCTAGAAGGAGTCGTTCGAGTTTTCGAAAGACGGTCGCGTGACGTAAGAGGGGAAAAGATACTAGTTATCGAGGTTTTTTTTCGAAACGACAAACTGAACGGCACTTTATTTAGTTCTGTCGCGCGCGCGCGCGAGCGACGACGAGGACGAGGACGACAGGGGTGCTCGCAGCTTAACGAACGTGTCTGTAGCGGGGCAGACAAATTTATTCGCCGGCATTGGCAGCGTGATATCTTTCTATGGGGGCTATTTTCTCATCAATCCCAATAGCTTTTATAAAACGTGACTCACGCGTGAAAAGGTCCGCGCGCCATCAGCCTTTGGCGAATCCGATGTGTTCGCCATCTCTCCCCCGTGCACCATCATCATCGCGACTGGCCCTGGCCGCGCGAGATAAAGCCGGCTCTCTTTCAGGATATGATGCACACGTACGGACCAGGGTCGAATATATATATATATAGCTCTCTATCTCTCTCTTCTCTTTTTATAATTGAAAAATCAAGCCGGCATCTTCTCGCACGCAACGTAATAAATATCCGATCGAGGGCGTCGTGATTCATGAATTCACGCGGCAACGCCCGCGTTTCGGAAATTGATTAATCGATCATTGACGATCGAACATCGATCGACAGCCGCGTGCGTGCAGGCGAAGTGCATCGATAAATTCTAATATGAAAACGCAACCATGAGGCCGTTGCATTGAATCATTATTCGGGTGTGCTTTTTGTCACGCCCCCCCCCCCTGCGCTCTGTATTGTTGTTAAACGGGTATCAAGTGTCACTCGAGCGTATTTTTCGACTATTTAGCGCGTCGTCCCTCGACGCGATCGATGCCCGAAGCGCGACGTTGCCCTGCGAGAGGAAAAAGAAAAAAAAAACGAACGAATCAGTCGGGCCGTTGGGCGTTGATAAAAGTTTCACGTACGACAGTAATGAGGCGTGGATAGCCCAGGCTTTTACACATTCATGTTTCTCAATTCCGCTCCATTTAGACGATTAGGACCGTAATTATCTTAGTCGCCGGCTTCAACGAACCCGCATATCGCGCCTGGGTAACGCAGTCACCCGAGTTTTCGTGTGATTTATCGTGGGAAAGTGCGGGGAGCGAGGTGGGGGGGTCGAACAATCTGGAAAATTTACACCGACGCGACGACGCGACTCGTACGACAAAAGAGAGGAAGTTATCTGATTCTTTTGACGTCCTTTCCCCCTCGCGTCGTCGTTGCGGGACGACGAGCGCGGCGAAACGTGCGTTACACTACGACGGGCATCCGAAAAGTCGAGCCGTGCTGCCGCACCCTGCCGCGTATTTTCGTGACAAAGGGACGAGAGAGGTCCATATGGGCGCCTCGCTCGCATCTCTCGCTCCAAACGTGACCTTCCGCTCTCGAATCTCCTGTTCGTTCGGGGAGAACGGGGAATTTGACGAAAACACGAGAGGGACGAAAGTTTGCGGCGCGTATCGATTTCCGCGCGACTCGAAAATCCAGACTCGTTAACGCGAGACGGAGAACGGCGGATTATCAATCGACCGAATCGGCGAGAGTTGTTCTCTCTCGGGGAATTTCAGAACGTCGAAAGCGGAATGGCACACGGACAATGGCTCGCTCGCTCGTTCACGGACAGACAAGCAGGCACAGGCAGGCAGGCAGATATATTTCGCCGGTCAAACTGCGCGAGTTCGAGACGCGCTCCAGTGGTTTAATGGGGAAAATATGGCTTCTATCGGCGTTCCATCTAACGGCACGGTGCAGCGCTGAAGCGTGCGTGAAGGGAATATGGACCGTGGCTCTGGAGAAAGGGCGGAAGGACGAACGCGCGAGAGAGAGAGAAAGAGGGAGGAGGGGGAAAGGAGAGAGAGAGAAAAGAAAGAGAACTCACCAGGCTTTGACGCGGATGAGGACCTCTCCCTCGCCGAGGGCGGGCTCCGGCTTCCTCAGGGCCTTGACACTCTTTAGGCCGCCGAAACCGTTGAGCACGATCGCCCGCATATCCTTCGGCTCCGGCGTGGTCTTCTCCTCGCCGTTCTCCTTCGGCTTCTCGCCCTCGCCATTCTCCTCGACCTTCTTCTCGTCCTCCTTGCGCTCCTTCGTCGGCTCTTCCTTGGCCGGCGGCGACGCCGCCGCCGCCGTCTCCTGCGGCGGCTTCTCGCCCTCGGCGCCGGGGCTAGTCTCGTTCTTGTCCTCTGCCATCTTTACGCGTTATATGTGCGTTGTACGTGTCCTCTTCCTATCAGACGCCCTGCAACTCTGTGAAGCTCGCGCGACGTCCTTTACCGCGAGACTGAGGACTGAAGTGAGGACGTGAGGATACTGAGGATCTCCGGCGGCCGCGAGGCGGGGATACGTCAAGAAAGGGAGCGTGCGTCGTACCGTCCGCGATCGCGACAGACGGAGAAGACAGGGCGAGGGAGAGAGAGAGAGAGAAAGAGAGAGAGAAGGTAGAGAAAGATAGACAGAGAAAGAGAGAGAGAGAGAAAGGAGGGAGAGAAAGCGCGCCCCGTTCGTGTGAGTGGGTCCACTCGGCTTCGCACGGTATAACGTTTACAATCCGCCGCGTACGCGCTCCATGAAAGCCAACGTCGTTCTGTGCGAAATTCTGCGCCACTGTGCGAAAGCCACTCACTCGTCTCACTCTCTTTTTTCTCTCTCTCTCTCTCTCTCTCTCTCTTCGTTCGTGTGCCGGCTACGACGCGCCGCGCGCCGGCCGGTAACGCGCGCGCGGTGTTGCCGTTGCTTAGCAACCGCGCGCCCCTGCCGGACGGCCAATCGCGCGCCGCCGGCCCCCGCCGCCATTTGCCAAATGCCACGTTCGTTCGCGTCGTGCTGGTTGCGCGCGCAGCCCGGCAGGTGACGCGCTGCGTCGCGTCGCGTCGCGTCCTGTCGCGCGCGCGCTCGCGCAAGGCACGGTCGCTCCGCTTCGCCACGGCGAAGTAGTCCCGTTTCCTCGTATCTCTCCTTTTCGGCGTCCGCACCACTTCCCCGTCGCCTCTCTGCCGACCACCGCGTGCTTATAACCTAAAAATTTGAAAATACCCGATTTCGCGGCGGTTTCCAACCGCGGGCGATCGATCCTGGCGTACATACGCGGCTGGATGCACGCGCTCCGTAATTACAAATCGCGCGGAGCGATACCGCGAGACGCCGTCCGATGTCCGATCTTGATGACGCGACCGTGTAATTGTTCCTATGAATAATCGAAGGGAAGGGGAGAGAACGGGGCGTGTATGGGGTCCCGTCGCGATCGCCGACGTCGAGAGAGTCGCAAGTCGTCAAACGTTTTCACGCCGAAATGTTTTTTTTTCCCGTACTTTTTCACCACCGGCTGCGAGATCTATATTGTGCTTTTTGGGTGTGACACGCAGTAGGCGTCGCAAGCACGTAGTCCCTTAATCCCTTCATTAGAAAGCCTTCTCTAGCTAGAGACGTCTCGAGATGTTGGAGACGTTATCAAAATAAACGATCGGACGCGATAAATTTACTTAGCGCGTTCCCGTGCTATCGTAGAATAATAAGGACGATCCGTTCGTCGCGACGATCCTTATCTGGAACTTCTGTTAGGGTTGAAAGAGCCGACGAGCTAAAGCTAAAACAATAGCGCGGTGTCCAGATTCTTGGGGAAACACGCCTCTTTCGTATGAATCATTGTCTCGGATGCATCGAGAACTTTCCCCTCGTCTCTCGCCGATAAATTCGTGCGTCATTGTGAAAATATACCCGCGACTTTAGCGGGTATATAGAAACGCACACGATCAAGAATTGTATCACCGTGACACAATTTTATCGTTCGTAGTTATATATCCATGTATATTGTACAACATTGTATAACGGTAAATGGAATCGCATGTTATTTATGTTTTACGTTTAAAAGTCGTTGGGCTAGCTGGTATATTTTAAAAGCGAGTCGATGAGTTTTTGCCTATTAGGCAAATCGTGCAGACCAGACATTCCGTCTTCTGCGTTCATTATACAAATAGGTAGTAGGTAGGTATGCAGTCACGAAGGCAATCTCGTGTTTTTATCTCTCTCATACACGTCACCCGTGATTATCTCGTTATCAGAGAGTTTCTGTGTGCAATAAATTAATATTATTAATAATTAATTAATATAACATTATAAATTAATATTATTATTAAGCTTATGTCGAAAAATTGTTAGACTGGCATAATTATCACGTGACCGAATAAATAATCTCGCGTTAATCGATTCCATCAATTTAAATCTTCCATCGATTAACTCGCCGATAAAAAGTGGCGATAGCGATCGCGGGACTTCCGCGACTACGTTCCGACTGGTCTCGAAGCAGGATAAACTCGTATATCCCACGTCAAATAAATAAACACAAAACGCTGTAGAACAGAAAAAGTCGCAGTAAGATCGGCGAAACGGAGGAGGAACTGCCGCGTCGTCGTAGGAAATTCATTTCGCGCGACGAAATGACGGATATCGCTCCCGCGATCCATTTGTCACGATCGCTCGTGCGAGGCCTCGCCGTCCGTCCGTCCGTTCATTCGTCCGCCAGGCCTGAAAATTCACTCGTCCTTCGACGTTCGCTTCTCGACGTCGCGTCGTATATATCTACAATATCTAGCCAACAGCCAACGGAGTGGCAATCGCCGGGAAGTAGTGCCCAGCAGACGACACCCGAAAATGCGCGTGTATTCCTACGCCACGCGTGCACGTGTGCGTGGCCTCTCCTCTCTACATACGCAACGTACGCACGCGTGTATGTTACGTACGCATGGACGCGCGTGCGCGCGCATCCTGCGTGCGTCCGTCCTTCCGTTCCTTTCGGCGAGAAACACGCCTCGCCAAACGTGAGATTCTCTACCGCATGTTTCCTTCTTCCCTTTCCCGATATACCGCGAGCGCGTCGCTCTCGGGAAATCGACTGCGTTTCTCGCATATGATCGTTACGTATCGTCCGCGAATGAGGCTCGAGGGGGGAACGAATCGAAGTGTCGTTTCCCGGTTGCGGTTTGGCAACGTTGTGGCCGCGTCGCACGGCTACGCGCGCGTCTCGTCCGCACGGTAGCGCGATTCTCGTCGACGAGAATTATCGCAGGCTTTTGTCGGAGCGATCGGATTCCGCGCGCGAAAAGCGCGGATAACGTCCCGAATCGCGCTAGCAGAAACGACGTTACGTATCCGCGCGACACGCTCGTTTTTTTTTACAGCACACACGTTTCTATGCCGTTTCCGTAATTATTGATAATTAATGCACGATGGGCGAGCGATTAGGATCACGGTTTAAATAACCGCGCGTCGCGCGCGTTTATCGCGCGACAATGAACGTCGCGATCTGCGGCGAGACGCGCGCGGTTGAACTCGCGAAACAATTGGACTGGGTAATGAGAATCATGCGCGAGTGCGATGGAGAGGATGTGCTGATTGGGATGAATGGCTCGTATTGTCGGGCGAGGGTAAAAAGTGCTCCTCTCGGGTGCTTTTCTGCCGAGGCCTCCGCGCGGGCACACGAAAGCGCGACGTTACGCGGAAACGCCTCCTTTTTCCGAAATGCATCTGCAGCGCGAAAACGCGGACGTATTAATTTTCTCGCAAACGTTAATCGCGACAATTGTCACTTTCGAGAAACCAACGATCATAAATATCTCACGCTGAAGCTTAGTTAAAATATTATTTATTATTCACAATTGACATATATACCTAGTATCACTATATTATATAATAAATATCTATATAACATTTAAAAGATAAAATCTAAATTATTAATATATAACATTATTATAAATATATAATTATTATTATAAATATCGTTCATGGCGATTACGGACGATCGCTACGTGGCGCCTGTTCTTTTTTTGTATTTTTTTTTTAAATGCATCGCGGTTCGTTCCTTCGTCAGTTCGCCATATGTCCTACATAATTCCACGTCTCCTGTAATTTTCGTAAAATTAGCGCGTGGGCGCGGCAGCGGAGAATAGAGCGTACCAAGTCCATCGGGCGTTAATTGATCTTTACGGCAAACTCGCCGAGACAATGCGAGCGGCATGCACGCCGCCTCGTATCGTCAGGCCGTACAATTATCACGGGAGTTGCCGTGCAATTATTAATCATGCGAGGGCGCGGGGTGCGACGTATACCGCGTATACCGTACCGTATACGTATATTAATACGCCTCGCCGATGCGAGCTGATCGCTGACTTGACCGCAACAGCCTGCTCTCGCTCGCTCGCATTTGCGTCAACGATGCCACTATCTTGCATCAATCTTGAGATTGATACAATTCCGTCGGACTCGATGACGACGAATCGGTATAAACAAGACGCAAATAAGCGCGCACGCGATCATTACGTCTGTTCGAGTCATTTTTCGTCGATATTTCCGGGAATCGTTTTTTAACGAGGAGAAGAGCATTTACAAGAGTACTCTTTTCTCTCGCGATTCTTTCAGAAAACGCCAAAGTCAACGAGAATCATCGAAAAGCCAGCACAGTTGCCTCGGTTTTTTCCTCTCGTTTGATTCTATCGCCTAGAATTTTGCGTTATTTGTATTGATTGTTTTTCATCCGAGTATTCAAGTTCGGCGTGATTACGGCTGAAATTCGCGGAGTCCATACTTTGAGTGCTTGTTATAAGTTTGGAGTTGGAAGACGCGTATATCGGGTGCGCGCGCGCTTAGTGGACGATTAAGTTGGTCAGTATTCGCGCAATTAACGGGCGCGATAACCAAGGCAAAGTCTACTTCGCACGAGGACGGCCGCACTGCTCTATCCGGCCGTCCGCTATCGCTCGCAGCCAGAGAGAGAGAGAGCGCGGGCTTTTATTTCGACCTTAACAATAACACGCGCCGCGCTCGATTGCCGGCGCGATAAGACCCCGCGCGCGTCGAATTGCGCGCGGCGCGTTATCGGCGGGCTGCCTTTTTTATCCTGCATCGATATACCGCGTACGTAAAAGACGTAAAGACGCGACCCTTGAACCGATTGTACATACTTCCTCCCGACCGACGTCGCGTCATCGGACGATGACGATCTCAAAACGGGGAGACGCGCGTACTTATCGCGTCGTCGCAGCATCGCGCGACTCTCGAGAATGCAGATTCTCGAATTCAATCTCTGGTCCGAAGGGATTCGATGAGACGGCCCGAGTCGCGCATGGGTGAAAATACCGGAAACGGGAAACCGCGCGACGCCGTTCTCACGTTATAGTTGTTAGCGTCGAGAGCGTCCGACGGCGGGTCACGTCATTCGCTGACGCTCCAGATTCGAGAATCGCGTCGCATCCGGTCCGGTTTACCGCCGCGAGCCGTGCCGGATACGGCGGAGATCCCGCCGGTATCCTAATATCGACTTCAGGGTACGCATCATGAAACTATAATATTCGGAATAGACTCCGATCAGAATTATTCCGTTTTCCGAAGATAACACGATGAAAATCTAGGAAATAGCTAAACAATTCCGGTTGGATTCCAAAACGGTTCACGTTTTGATGAACGCCGTGATCCGTTCTTTCTTCCGGCCGCGCGCTCTCTCCCTCTTCACCCTCTCTTCCTTTTCTCTTCCTGTCTCTGATTTTATTCTAATCGTACGCCTTCAAAAATACGAGAAGGTAGGAGAAGCGGATGGTCCGAGAGAGTTGTCGGTTCGCCGCATTTTTTTCCAGACGTAGCTCCACCTCTAACTCAAACGGTTGAGTCCAAGCATGGCAGGGAAGCTCCGGTTGGCGTTTCGGCTCGGTAACTTCGGACCCTTCCTTTCTCCAATATACAATTACTTTCGCGCGTCCTTCAACGTTGTGTTGCCGGGTAACGGCACGCAGGTTGCACGCACAATTGATGCACGTGGCTAAACAAAAGCGCAGACACACATGTCGAATTCGTCGAAAATAGATTATGTAAAAGAGTAACTGTTGCAAATTTTGTCGACAGAACGTCGGCCGACGTCGGCAGAAGTATGACAGAATAATAAATAGATAGCTATCTATATATACGCGCGTATAAGATTAAATATCGATGTTTTCGCGATCGGGATCTTAAGCCCAGAGATAACAATCGTTAACTCGTAAATTTTATTCTCATCCACGCGTCGATTATTATATTCGATCTTAAAATGCCAAGACTGGAAAGGTGAGCCACGTTATTAAATAAATAATAACTTGCAAAACTATTGACGCTAATAAGAAACTTGCAAGGAATTCATTGCAAAAAAAAAAAGAAAAAACAATCTCTTGAACATGATGGCAAACTGATACGGAAATTGAGCAGAGTTTGTCATTTAATTAAATAGTTACGGATGCTAGAGTTCTGTTGTCAGAGCATGTCGGCAAGTTCTTTTTGACGGAACACGATGAGTTGAGCGGATGACTTTAATTTGCCGTAACATTCTCTTGGAATCCGCTGGAGAACCACTAACATATCGCTAACATTTCATTTACGGGATATATTTGACGATAGTTCTCATTATTCTAACAATAAGATCTAAAGCACGGATCGGCAATTTTTCATTTTCAGATGTTTCTACCTCTTTCAAATTCGGTTTTATCATTTTTTTTTATTAAGCGGTATCTATAATTAAATGTAGAGAATCTAAGCCAATTTTTAGTACTTTTTGAATTTTTTAAAAAAACCTAAATTTGATAAAGTTTTATAGCTTGCTAAAGTTTCTTTGATGACGGCAACTTCAAAGGATATGACGTCATTTCTTATATAAGATATGACGTCACAGAACATTTTCGTGTACTATATTTTCTTCAATTTTGAAGATATTGCAAAAATTCAAAAAATTTACAAAGAAAGTGCCATGATCTATCAGACTGCTTAATAAAAAAATGTATGTTAAAACCGAATTGCAACAAAATCCTGGGCATCATGTCATGAAACTTTTCGGGATGATTTTTGATCAAAATTGCTATTTCCTAGATTTCTATTGCGTTTTCTATGGAAAACGAAATAATCCGGATGGGAATCTATTCCAAAAAATGTCCATACGCCCTGCTGCAAAAAGAGCGAACAAAAAAGGCTGAAGAATATCGCGCGGAAGACAATCCCCGAAAATGTCTCCTATCCTATCGAAAGAAGCGCACGTTCTCCGGCTGAAATATAATCATTAAATCGGCCTGTTTTCCGAGCATCGTCGTCGGAGCGACCTCGCGATTAGGATCTCGAGCGAAGGAAAGATCTGAAAAGATCTCCGCGGGCGCGGACACGCTCCAGAAATCGGCGCGCGGGCACGCACGCGTTTCGATATCAGCTGATTCCTCCCCACCCCGCCGTCGCTCAGCGGGCCCCACCGCGCGCCGCGTGCACTGTCAAGAAACTTGAAAGCTGAAAGCCGCGCATTCGCCCGAGGCCCGAGCGAGCGTGGCGAGCCGTCCTCTGCGTCCATTCAGATTCGGACGCCTCCGCCAGATAATAGTGTAGTATCGCGCGCGTTACGGCACACGCGCGAGTTCTTCCGCATTTACAACCGACAACAAAGGGGGACCCGGTCCCGCGGCGGCAGAGCGGCAAGGAGGTGCCCACCGTCGTCGTCGTCGTCGTCGTCGCACCCATGGCAGACCATGAAGTCGTCGAGGCGAAAAGGTAAGCGAGAGAGAGAGAGGGAGAGAGAGAAACCGACCCAGCCTCACGCGAACCGACAGCCTCCGTCATAGTTTCCGTCACAATTACGTCGCGATTTTGAACGTCGCGATCGTATCGCGGCGTTACGTCATGCGACGGATGACGGCGGATCGCCGCGCGAAGAAAGAACGGGTTGAACGCCGATAAAGATGACCCGAATCGTTTTAACGATATCCCGGACGGTTTGAAAGATTTAGTTTTCGGTCTAGTTTATCTGTCAGGCGTCTCAAGGCCGTCTGCTCTTGGCTCTTGATCTCTCGCGGTACACGTGGCCGACGCGCGGACGGGACTGACGGGAGCGCAATAATAGCAAGTCCGTGATATAACAGCTATTAATACACGCGTGTATATACCTGTCACGATGCGGGAGCATGACTTGACGCAAATCTCTATCAAACGTTGATTCATCTCAATTTCGTCGATAATTGAGATGTAATTGCACAATGCGAGATGAGCTTGTACTCTCTCGCTTGGCTCATGCCAGGAAGGAAATGATTGAAATTTTGTCCCTTCAGCAGCTGGATTTGGGGATGGTTTAGCTGGTCTGGATCATCCTCGACTATGTTACGTTCGGCGGAGAAGAAGATTCTGTCGTGTAAGTAAGACAAATAACAAGATAAATATCAACATTCTCGAACTTGGACCGATCAAAACGCACATTGATCGAAATGTTGCAGGCTTGAAAACAGCGTATCGCGGATGGTTCGTCGACATCGGGCCGGTCGTGGGTCCGGCGGACAAGATATGGACCATTTCGTTGAACGAGGAATCGCCGAAGGTGCCCATCGTTTTGCTACACGGCTTGGGAGCTGGTGTAGCATTGTGGTGTTTGAATCTGGATGCGCTTGCATCCCAGAGACCGGTGTACGCCATAGACCTGTTAGGTAAGAAATAAACATTTAAAATATAGACATTGACCTCCTAATTGTATCTGTGATTCTATCTGTAATTTATGTACCATTAATGACATTATAATACAATGTAATCTAACTATTCAGTTCTTTCTGCTTTTGTCATTATTTCATCATTAGCCACTTGTAAAAATATGTGACTCATCTGCATGACTAATCAAATCACTGAACTTTGTAACTGTATACTGTATACCTAATATGAATATGTTAACACTTGATATATGGATACCTGTCAGTTTCTCATATCAAGATGCACAAACATTCAAATACATTTAATAATTTATTATATGAAGACTACGTGCATCTGTGTAATACACCTGTGTAATACTTGATATTTTTGATTTCTAGGATTCGGCAGGAGTAGCAGACCCGTTTTTAGCAATGAAGCGCAAAAAGCTGAGGAGCAGTTGGTACGTTCTGTGGAGGAGTGGAGAAGAGAGATGCAGCTGGAGAATTTTGTATTGCTGGGCCACTCAATGGGTGGCTTTCTTGCGGCATCTTACGCTATGCAATATCCTGAAAGAGTGAAACACCTCATACTGGCCGATCCATGGGGCTTTCCCGAGAAGCCACCCGATTCCGTTGCGAAGACAACGAACGTACCGTTCTGGGTTAAAGCCATAGCGTTTGCGGTACGGCCTTTGAATCCTTTGTGGGCAGTTAGAGTTGCTGGACCATTTGGTTAGTATTACCATAAAACATACGTACACAATAATGCATGCTCATTGTTTTCACGTTGTTGAGTAAAAATCTCGTATCTGTAGGACAGTGGCTCATTGAGAAGACGAGACCTGATATCGTGAAGAAGTTTACTCCCCTATTGAAGGATGATACCCCTATAATTTCGCAATATATACATCAATGCAACGTGCAGACACCTTCGTAAGTTGGCAAACTAAACGACTAAGTGTAATTTAAAAATATTAACCGCTATAATTCTATGATGTATTCGGTTCACAGAGGCGAGAGCGCGTTTCACGCGATGATGCAAGGCTTCGGATGGGCAAAAAATCCAATTGTTAAACGAATGGACAAATTAAACGATGATATACCTATAACATTGCTTTATGGCAGTAGATCATGGGTTGACAATTCAGCTGGTGAAACGATTAAACAGTATCGATCTTCGTCGTATGTTAATGTTCAGGTGAAGAATTAATTAAATCACGAGGTACTACGTAAAACGGATCAACTTGCAACTGTCTTTACATAAAATGAATTTATTATACAGGTGATTACTGGAGCTGGTCATCATGTTTACGCGGACAAAAGTGAAACCTTTAACAAATATGTACTGGAAGCATGCGCTTTAAGTGATTCGATACCTCACTTAACATCGTCAAATTTACGTTCCTCTGTTAAACCCATAAACGATCAAGAGATAGATGTCATAGTAAATTCACCCAATGAAGCGCTCGAAGACCGAGGGTCAGAGGAAAAAAACCTGAATACGTCAGGATCATCGACAGAATCAAAAATTTAATTAAAATTTAGCGTGGAATATTCTCATGAAAAGGGACATTCCGGTTCTGCTACCTGGTACAAAGAAACATATAGTAAGCATAAGTATATTGTGATGGAAGAACGCGTGTGCGAGATATATTCAACATACGAATGTATGTTCATGGCGTGACACATATGAGCTTTATGTAATTTATAAAATGTAATAACGTAAAGGAGCGCAAACTGACGGACGTTGGTCGCGTGCTGATTGACCGTAGATATATTAAGATATGTGTATATTAAGATTGCGCGACAAAATCGTTAATATATTCCATTTTTAATTTTATGGAAATTATGACAATGTATTACTGCAAATGCGCGAAAGTGTTAGAAGAATAGTGATCTTGTCATAAGATATCATTTTTAATCGTTGATTAAATGCAATCGGTTAAAAGTCTGCATGTAAAGCATGCCGTAAGAAATTTATATAAGTCGAAAGGAATCAAATGCTTGTGAGGTGTAAATAACTATAATGGAAGTTTGTGTACATTGTGTACAGTCTTAGCTTTACTAACACAGGCCATAGTAGTGTCTAGTGAAGAGTGAGAATTCTTATTGTTATTGTTATTAATTGTATTATCGCACAGCAAGATTTTATGTATATTGTACAATACAATTTATTATTAATAAATTATTTATTGTACACACATGTACAGACAGTCGAGCAATAGTATTATATTTATATTTAATAAAAATTGTTCTGAGAGACAAATGATTTTGAAATCATTTTCGCGTCTCATCCTCGAAATCGTCGATATAAGCCTCGATATCATCATCTTCGTAATCCGAGTCTTCATTATCTATTTCTTGGTCAAAATTATTTAACCCTTTATCCGATCGTTTCAACTTGTGTCTGCGTTGTTCTTCCCTTCGTCTTTTGATTAGAAAATCAGAGAAGATCTTTCGTTGCTCTTCCCGGGTTAGGAACTCGACTTCTTTTGAGACTGGGTCGCGAGGGCTTTTATCTATATTATCGCATTCATTCGTAGTATTCGCATCCAACATCCGCCTTTGTGCGGTCTTTTTCGCCTTAGACACTGAACTGGTAATCTGCAACAATTAATTAAACGTAAATTATATTTCATGCATTTATCTCTTATCAATAAGAAAATTAAGAAACAAGATAGATTACCTGGGACATGATTTTGTGATGATCCAATCCTAATACATCGTGTCTCATCACTGGCAACCGTATATAAAATTCATCTGCCTCAGAATCGCGATTTGCAACCGATTCTTCCTGTGAAGTCCGATCGATACTACTAATACCGGAAGTGCCAAATTCTTTGTCGCACCACAAAGGGTCGCTATCCTCCTCGAAATTTATCATCGCTAATCTCCTCTCGACTTCCTTCTCTGCAAAATATTGCTTATTTTGAACAAACTGGATAGGCGGCACTATGCCTATAACACGAAGCTGCGACAGCTCGTGCCGGATAATCCTGGCACACTTCTGCAACGCCTCTTGATCAATTGTGGCATCGTCGTTATTAGGTATGTAAAACACATTGACGTATTTAAAATCTGGAGTTATTTTCACGTGAGTAATCTCCAAGTTTCCTCTTATAATATCGGACACTTCTCCCATCGACATCATGTCTGTTATATGCTCCATGAAAAGTTTGTCTCGCATCATCATTTTGCGCCTTGTAGACAGACAAGGCAACTGCTCGGTCGGATTGATGTTCACACTGCGTAAATCTATGTTTGTGTCGTACCACTTTCTGTAACGTAAAAATACTGCTCGAAGTTGCATTTAACAGAAGACTTATAGGAGCATGCATCTTTTTTATTTGTCTCACTTACCTCTTCGATTTACGACTTCCACTGATTATCTTTTTCATGAATTTACTTTCTCTGTAGATATTCGAGCACACGCTGGACGAGCTGATACACCTGGATATTTGGAGGCACGTAATAAAAGGACGTGAACTCTGCATTTTGACCGTCACTACAATATTTAGCCCGGTTTCAGCTTTCAGCACTCAAGACATGCACGTGCTGTTACAGCTGATTGAGCTCATTGAGCTGATGACAGATCTGCTCGTTCTAGTTGCACCTTGCACCTTCTTGCACTTCTATCCATGTGTTTAGAATTAAATATGGATGTATATTCGGGTTTTGACTTTTGACAGAAAGATAACAAAGATGCAATTGAAACAGACTTACAAAATGTATATATTTTATACGTTTTAGGACATATTGAAATATTGTGAAAAATTATCGTCGACCCTGCGCAGTAAAGGGTTATGCGAACCGCAGAAATTTAAATTCTCAAAAATGGCAAAAAGAGAATAGAATTAGTTAAAAAAGCGGTACTATCAGTGAAAATTTTAAAATTCCGATTTTAAAAATTTTTAGAATCTAGGACGAAGAATTATTATATTATTTTTATATATTAGATGCTCTATTAATTTATTTTTCTCTGAAATATGCAACTTTTTATTGATTTTTTTTTATTACACGAATATGTAACTCGAAGCAGGTTTTAAGAGCCTGATAAGACTTCTGACAAGTATTTTTTAGATACTTCGGTTACCGTTAGAGGAAAAGGGATGTATAGATGTATGTACACGCTCCATCTATACAAAGTATAAGAACATAAGATAATAAGTAGAAAAATGTTTTATAAAAATATTTCATTAATCACATACAACGGCATACTTTAGCTATTATATGACAATGCAAATTAAATGGCAAAATACAAAAAAGATGTTTTAAATATTTCATTTTATAAAAGGACCTGAAAATTTTCGAGAGCACTTAGAGAGCAAAACTTCACCAACACACAGTACAGATTATCGACTAACTAGACAATAACAAATGTTCTTCTTAATATATAATTAACGTAAAAATTAAAAATTACAATGTTATAGTATCCGTCTTCTTGCGTTTCATCCAACTCGCGCTTAAAACCGTTTCTTCTTTCCTGCAACTAATACTGAAACAGAAGTACATTTAGATTAGACAAATTAAATACAGTCAATCAAAGAGTACCGTGAATGCATGAAATATTATTATAATTAAAAAGATCCTTTACCTTCTCTTTCTTGTATAATCTCCTTTCTCCTATTTTTAAGTTCGGGGGGCAAATTTTCGATCATACTCTCAATAAAATTATCTAAAACTAACGATCTGGTCATCGATACTACCGGCTTCCTACAGACGGGACAATCTCTCCGTTTTTTATTCCACATTTTTATGCAGTGATTGCAGAACGTATGCGCGCAACCTAATGTCGAAGCTTTCACAAATAATTCCGAGCATATGGTACACGTCAACTGCTCATCCATAATGTCGCTCACTTTTCCAAGAACGTTTTCCTTAATATTAGTCTCCAGAATATTTTGACTTATCGCAGTCAGGTCTATCGTATCTATTATTTCATATTCCGGAACCTCGTATTGATCCAAATTTAAAAATATACACTCTGATGTACTTGCGATAGTTTCGTTTGTGTTTGCTGAAAAAAAAACCAACGATTCAGTAGCGCATGATAAATTGTCAAATCAAAAAGTACGTTATTAAACAATAGCATTATGTAAAACAATCTGTGTATTTGTATAAAATTTGTATTTATTAGAACATACCATTCAATATCGTCTGCGAAGTTTCTGCTTTTGCTTCCTGTTCCTTTAAAGCTTGCTCCGTTTCTTTCAATCTCGCTTCTAACATGATCTTCTCATTCAATAACTGGGCCTGAATATCTTTCTCTTCCTTTACCTTGTTCTCCATCATCCTTCTCCATTCTGCTTGCTGCTCCTCTCTCCATTTCTCCATTTGATCCCTCATTTTTACCTCTAACATCTCTTTTTCTTGTTTGCTCATGTCCAACGCTTCTTGCCACTTCTGCTTCTCCTCGTTTAGCCTCACTTCAAACTGCAGCCTTTCGTTCTCCAACTTCTCCAATAACTGAGAATACATGCTATTCAAATTTCCTTCCTGAGCATTACACGCCTTTATTTTATCTTCCAATGCCGTAATTTGTTTTAATAAATTCTCCTTGTCGTCTTTAGCCATGGTTTGTTGCGTCAACAAATCTTCGAGCTGTTGCTTTAATTCGATATGCTCTTTTTGCTTTGTTTCAAGTTTATCTTTAAGCTCTTTCCTCTGGCATTCTTGATTTTCGGAAAACGTTTTCTGCTTTACAAGAACAGTGTCGAGTATCTTTTCGTCTATACGTGGCTTCTTAGCACAATGATCTCTTTCGGCAAAAGTAAATTGATATTTGAACATTTCATTGGGACTAAATTGTATCTTGTCACCAGGGTAGATTTTTTGTTCTATCCCGGAACGAATGGCAACGTCGTTGACAAATGTTGAGGTAGAGCTTACATCCGTAATCGTCCATTCGTCATCGCCTCGACATTTAAAGACACAGTGTCTTCTAGATATACTGATATCCAATATAATCTCGTCATTGTCTCTTGCGCGTCCAATTTTAAACTGCATAAAAAGAGAAAAAATTATATTCTGCAGAATCAAGATGTTTGACAACAAACCTTACAAAACAACATCGTAAAGTAAGTCGTAAAGATATCTTTGGCTACGGTCAACGTGACGCGCTACAAATGCTTTGGAGCGTTCTTCTTCTCTTTCTTTTTCTTCATTGAAAGAAAAGAGAAGAGGAATGCTTCGAAGCATTTGTAGCGTCACGTTGACCGTAGCCTTTGACATGCGTTTAAAAGATACACAATTTATTACACACATTGATCGTACGCATTGAATTTTTTTAGGTATCGACATAGGCCTGTTCTTTTCGGCTGAACTTCTGCACGGTTCATCTTTCCTCTTTTTATTTTCATGTCGGAGAGAAAAAGATAAAAGATGAACCGTGCGCAAGAAGTTCAGCTGAAAAGAACAGGCCTTGTTCAGGCAGGCTATGTCTTCTTACCTCGTTTTTGTCAATACGTATGTAGTCGTTCGCGTCAGTTTTTATTAAAACCGGCTCGAGAATTTTCAACTCCTCAGATCTGGCTCTCTTCGAGTGCTCCATCATTCAGCAGTTTTACAAACACCTTAATTATATCTTAACGCCTCACATATATAATCGGGGCCGCGGACAACATAATAAAGCTGTGTCACTCGTGTCACGCAGTGTAGTGTGAAGATCTCGATTCAGACGCTGTCACGTGACTTCGTAATCTTTTTGCAGGACACAGTCCTGATAATTCTCGCTGTCACCGACTAATTCAAGAGAAAACGATTCTTCGCCGACAAACAACAAGCGGAGCTAACCGAGCAAGCCTGGTTTGAATGCAGCAGAAAAATTTACGTGCACCAACGTGCACGTACTTCGTAGACGACGTAGACTGTTCGATAGTTGTGCCGACAGGCGAGTCCTCTAGCGAGAGAAAGTGAAATTCGCGGCAGATTTAACTCTATTGATAGAGGCAGAGAGAAACCTGATAGAGGTAATGGAGCAAAACACGATGTTGAACACGTGAAAAGCAACTTGTATATTTCTTATTAAACTGCTTAAAAAATACATCTGAATCTTATACACATAATTGTTCCCCTTTATTTCGATAATTCTATTTCTAAGCAAAAAGTACATTTGAAATTGAGAAATTGAATCATCATGTATCATTCTCAGTGTAGGATATAACGGGATAGTCGCGTTGTTTCGCTTGTTTTTTCAAAGGTTTACTCTCGACGTCTTTACTCTCGGCGTCTTTAGTATCGTCAGCGAAACGTACACAAACAGGTCTTTCAAATTCTTTCGCGGAATCCCCTACTACCGGCTCATTTGTCACCTTTGTTGAATCTCCTTGATGTGTATTATTCTCCGGCATGAATATATCAGGTGTAATTCCTGAATCACCACTGGTCTCTTCAAAATTCACGTTACCAGAAATTTTGCAACTCTCAATAGCTTCAAGGAGAGCTTTGTTATCATCATTTGTCTGTTCCGCTTCCAAGTGCGCTTTTATTGCCAGAATTTGAGTCTACAAAAGGTAGAAAAGAGATTCTATTAAAAAAAAATCTCAAGTAGCAAAATATGATCTCTTTTTTGCTTCCAGAAATGGATACTCGCCTCCAAAGACATTGCTTTCGATCGCCAACAACGAAGCTGTCTCGAGATGTTATGGTTCGCTTCCTCTTGCACTAGTATCTGCATAGCTTGCCTCTCGATTTTTTCATTCAACTCCATGATCTCTTTCCCCTTCTTGACTAACAATGATCGAGCGTAACTAAAAGATACATCTATGTCTTACCGTTACATATATCATACATTAAACCAGATTTATTAAACAGAAATGTTTTCTTAGGCCGCATTCCGATATTCACTGCCAGTATCGAAAATCTACGGTATACGTGGCATAAAATATAGATTTTCAACGCTGGCAGTAAATATCGGAACGCAGCCTTACTTAAAACTGTCATCTGTGGATTGCATTTCTTCCATCTGATT